CCCTTTCTCTTTGGTCAAATTAATAATAATAATAATAATAATAAATAATTATTTTTTAAAAATAAATGTTAGTGTAAAGTCACTTTCCAGATTTGCCTTTCAAGATGGAAACTACATGATACTCCCACAAGCAACCAAGGGCTACAAAAATACCCCTGCCAGCCCCAGGATGGTCCCAGGGAAGGGTTTCCTTCTCTGCACTCAGACGGTAATGCCCACTCCTGCCTAGAAGCCGGGAGGGGCAAGCTAGGCTCACTTTGGTTTTGCTAGCAGGACTGTAAACACGGGATAATGAGGGCTTGAGAGGACAACTGTAATAACTATTATTGCTGGAAAGTGGAGTCCACGGAAGCCCGGGCTGCTCCTTGCCCTCCTCTGACCCTTGCTCCAAGTATCTGGAAATGCCAGCAGGCAGGGCAGGTTTCTGGAGCCTGGGGTCACCTCTCAGGCTCTGCATGGCCTGTGCCTGCCCACCCTCCTTGCACAGTCTCCCACCTGAACTGGTTTCTTTTCTTCTGTTCAGCATGTCCAAACCCTGCCCATTCTTTCGGCCCACACTTCCGCAGCCACCCCGAGCCCAGTGTCCTCCTGAGGGGACTGTGGTGCCAGTCCCTGCAAAGGAGCCTACTATTTGGACTTGCCCTCCTGTAGACAGGGCCTAAGGGTGTCAGCCCACAAGCAGCTAAACAAGGAGTTAGAGCAGGCGGATAGAGCTCGCTCAAGGATGTGAAAGAGCTCCCTAGGTGTGGGACCTCTTGGCAAGTGTCTTGATCTCTCTGGGTCTTGTTCTTCTACCTGTGAAAAACCCCAAATATTGGGGACCAGCAGGTGGCACGGTGGCTAAGGCCCTGGACACTCCCACATGGCTAACCACAGTTCAAGTCCTGGACCTGGTGGCTTGCTTTCTCACTTTCTCTCTCACTGTCTCTGTCTCTGTCTCTCTCTGGTCAAATTAAAATAAATTAATTAATTAAATAAAGAATTATTAAAAACAAACAAACGAATATCTCCCCATCCACTTAGAGTCATTGCAACGTGGAGCTGAAATGTCAAGTGAGAAGTGGCTTGGCGTGCTGGGGTATAAACACCTGGAGCCAAGGCTGCTCCAGCTGCATCACTCCATGCCAGGACAGGGTTCTCCTGGAAAGTCTACCGACCTCTCTTTGTCAGAAAAAACTGTTCCTGGGCCAGCCGGTGGCATGATGGTTGGGGCGGCTGGGTCCCATATGGCTTACTGCATTGTTCAGTCCTGGACCCAGCAGCTTGAAAACCAGAATGGGTGCGTGCCCAACATCCTGAAGAGAGAGTGGAGGACAAGGGGAGGGATGACCAGTGATGCACAAGCCCTGTAATAAAACTTTTCCTGCAGGCTTCCTCATGCCAGGCACTGTACCAAGCTCTTCATATGCTTCACCTATTGGGCTGTCAGAAAAGTCATGACGTGGGGCCAGCAGGTGGCATAGAGGCTAAGGTTCTAGACACCCACATGGCTGACTGGTTTGAGTCCTGGGCCTGGAGACTTGCTTTCTCACTTTTCCTTTCTCTCTCTGGCCAAATTAAAAATAATAATAATAACAAATAAAATTAAATAAATATTTTTTCAAAAGAGAAAAGTTGAGGACCAGCAGGAGGTGTGGTGGTTAAGGTGCTGGACAGTCCCACATGGCCAACCACAGTTTGAGTCTTGGACCTGGTGGCTTGCTTTCTCACTTTATCTCTCTCTGGTCAAATTAAAATAAATGAATGAATAAATAAAATTAAATTAATATTTTTTAAAAAAAGAAGAGAAAAGTCATGACGCATTTTTCTATGCAAAATACACCCTGCCTTTTCCGACAACCCAATAATTGATGTCTCACCTAAGCCTAAGATGGGTAGACTTCTTAGGTCCATTTTACAGAGGAGAAGACTAAGAAGACTAACTTTCCCCAAATCAGTGTGTGTGCGAGGTTTATTCAGTCGTTCAGAAGTACTTATTGAGCATCCTCTATGTTCTAGGCTCCACGTTTGTGCTGAGGAGAGAGCCATGAGCAAAATAAAGCACCTGCGCTTTTGGAATGAAGGCTTTTTAAAAATAAGTATTTAT